ATTAATCGGAATTGGATGGATCTAAATATTATCCTTGATTGTTCAAGAGTATGTCTAAGTTGGTTTGAAAGTTTGCGCACTTAGGAGAACAAAATTTTTCAGCTTCGGTGAATGCCGCCAGAGAATCGAACACATGCCGAATACAATCATTAGAGGTACATAAATTGATTTCAACCCATTCAAAAATTAAAGCTTAATAATTAACTAATATGAAACTTACTATTTAAGTCCACTTTGGGTGACATTGAGGTGAACATGACTGACATGAAGGACTCCCTCAACAACGTGGAGAAAGAAAATGTCACACTTCAGTCAGTGATATAATTACCAACTACTAGTTAATATAATAACAATTTAATTAACCATTCGTTTATTAACTTTTGATTTACTTTTGATTAGCCCCGAGAGGAACAAACTGCAGGAGAGACACGAGGAAGTGGTGACTCATCTTAACCAGACCATGCAAGAAAAGGCCAGGTGATTTATTACAAAATTACAAAATTAAAAAACTAGACAAAGTTCTGTAAGGTTAAAGTTTTAAAGAAATTCATTAACGAAATTTTTGTTTTAATTGACCTGAAGCAATGAGACTATTAGTGTATCTGCAATGAAAGATTGCTGAAAGATCGTTTTATTTTTGCCTTCTAGTAAACAGATTCTTCTGAATGACACGAGAGACCAGCTGAGAGAAGCACATCAAACAGTGAGTCCAATCATAGATCATTTCAGCTTTATCGATGAAAATGAACAGTATTTTCTTTATTCTTGTTCGAAGAAAACAATGGAATATCAATGCTCGTCTTGCTTTTTTCTTCAGATCAAATTGATTGTTAAAGTTTAAAGTATTTGGCGGAATTTTTTTCTGTTACATCTGAACCATGCTGGCGATCTCAACTGTAAAAAGATATTTCAAATGTGATTGTTATTTTTCAGCATCTATAATAAGGTTATGGGGGTTTTAGCGTTGTCTACTTGGCAATTTGGAATAATTTATTGGTTGTACCAAACTCTAGGTCATGCAATTTTCAAATCTAAAAACCTATGCTGTTTTCTATTACAAAATCAAAACTCAAACTAGCATCAAAGTCTAGTGAAAATTGTATCGACTAGCTCAAAAATCGAAACACAAAACTCCTTTATAGTAAAAATTGCAATCATTACTAGTCTCACGAATCCCAGACAATTCCAAGTGCGTGTCAAATTGAACAAGACTGCTCGTAACAGGGCGAAGCCCTGAATGTTCCGACTGGCTTTTAAGGTTTATGTAGCAGTAATAACATTAAAAATTCAATGAAATAAAAAAAATGAAATTTTTTTTTCTAAAATTTGAAATTTTTTATGAAAATCATCCCCCCACACGCCATATAAAGTAGAAAAGGATAGATTTCGCTCCTTGTAACAAACCAATTATGGCAAAGAAGCTTCTTTTAACCAATTTGGAACGATTTCTAAGACGGATTAACTCTCCGCTTACGCGTTAATAGCGCGAAATATCGCGCGTTAATTGTCCCAAATTGGCCAAAATTGCAATCTTTAAACCCCCGTAACTTTACGAAAAATGATCACAGGTGAAATATCTTTTCAAATTTGAGCTCAAAACAACAATACTTTTCGAATGATATAAAAAAAGCCGTCAAAAATGGCTAGTTAAAAAGTCGAAATTTGTCTGGAGAAAAAAAAAACCCACCCCGAGCACAAATATTCCGTTACTTTCGTATCGAAAGTCGGAACAATAAAACAATAAAACCTTATGACAAGCATTTGTCTATTTATGGAAACTGTGTGGCAAGGATATTTTCCGACCTCAATCGTCTTCTCAAAATACACTCAAAAAATTAAACATAAAGATGCGAATATGGTGTTTTATCTAAGAAAAATTATCAAAAAATAGCCAAAAACATTTTTTTCTTCATCAAATTTGCTAATCAAAACTTCTTCAGATGCCTAAAAAAATTTTTTGAATGCAGAATACTTTTTTTAAATACTTTTTTTCTATTTGTATACTCTGATTTTTGAAATATTGATTATTAGGAAATTAAAAAGGAGTTTTTTTGCCAAGAGCCTAGATATTTCAGTTTGATGGAGCCAGCAAAATAGCTAAAGTGTCAATCTAACTTACGAAACTTTATTTCAAATCTCTCTCTCTCAGCGCGTGAACACGGCCAAAAAAAATATAATACCAAAAAAAATCAAAATGGCTACAAAAAACATTGGACTTCTTATTTATTATACATACTTTCTGACATTGGTTTACAGGCAGCATAGAAACAATCTAAGAACAGTTAGAGGTAAAATAAATTCATTTTTGATTGTCTGAAGATTTTTTCACATGTTTTAAAGGTGACAAACAGAAGGCTTGGCTACAGGCATATTTCAACGAAAGTTCAAAAATAAAGTTTTGGGGATTTTTTTGGCAGTTACTCAGCGCACAAATAAAAGACAATTTTTTACAAACTCACTTTTGTCGTCACGAACTAAACCAAAAATATTTCACAAAACATGCGAAATATGGTGTTTTATATAAAAAAAAATGATCTAAACTATTCCAAATTTTTTTCTTCCTTATCAAATGTATTAATCAAAACTTCTTCAGACACTTAAAAATTTTATTCGACTGCAGAAAAGTTTTTGTAAATTTTTTTATTCTATTTTTATACTCGATTTTTGGAAGATTGATTACTAGGAAATTAAAAAGAGATTTTTTTTTGCCATAAACCTAGAAATTTCAGCTTGAAGGAGCCAGCAAAATAGCTGCACTCCCAGCTTAAATCATGAAATTTTATTTCAAACTTCTCTCAATGAGCGTGAACAGGGCCAAAAAATTGCTGATATAAATGTACAAATTGGCTACAAAAATTATTGAGCTTCTTGTTTATTATACATAGTTTTTGACATCTGTCGTAACATTTTGTCACATATTTTAGTGGTGACAAGCAGACCTTTGTTTGAAAATTGGCGGAGCCGCAGGCATATTTCGAAAAAAAAATGAAATTTAGAGTTTATTGGAAGTGGTTGAGCGCAAGAAAAAGTTGTTATATTTTGAGCAATGTGAAGTTCATGACAAGCAGTTTTCCATTTCTCAAAAAACTGTTTGGCAAGGATTTTTTCCATCCAACGAAACTGTTGAAAAAAAAAATTCCGAACTCACTCTTATCGCATCAAAATCAACTCAATTTATCAAACAGAAAGATGCAAAAAATGGTTTTTTTAATCTAGAAACTCTTAATCTAAATTACTCCAAAAACATGCAATTTTATTCTTTTTTTCTCAATTTTTGTTTGCGAAGGTTTCTTCAGACATCTAAAAACTTTATTTGAATGCTGTACTAAACTCCGAAAGTAAATACCTTTTTTTGTTTACTCTAATAAAATACTCTAACTTTTGAAATGAACCTGGAAATTTTAAATTGATGGAGCCAGCAAAATAGCTACACTGTCAAACTGTTTTTCTAGTATTTTATAATCTACCATTCTGACCTCCGAAATAAAATTTTTTAATGCGATTTGAGCTAGGCGTCCTATTCCTAAAAAAACTTATCTCAAATTGTTCTGCCTAAATAATAAGAACAGTATAAACACAGTACTGCAACAGTACTGGACAAGTGCCACGATAGTGCAGTGGAGGGTGAATCAATTTTTTTTAAATTAAATTTTGTTCCATGTTTTAGTCAAAAACAGTTGTTTCCTGGTATATATAGTCAATCATGCCTTATAACTAGCAACGCTAACACATTTTTGTTTTATTGGCGACAATAAAACTGTCGCTTTTTCCGCTGTGGGGGTGAATTAAAACTTTGAGATAAAAATTCGTTTTTAAATTAAAAATTATCTTTTCTCGGCATTTCGAATTGGTGTAAAATTCCAATAGCTAACCCATTACTAATTTTTTGCAAAAAAAAACCGCGCTTTTTTTGGTTTGTAGCATATTTGTTTTTAAGGCCTTTCTAAGGGTTTTTTACTGTAACGGCACATTACAAAATATGAAAATCAATTCTAGACTTTGAAGAAAAAAATTCAGTTCTGTTTTAGACCAAAATGAGTGAACGAAAAACAACATTGCTATAACAGTACTATCCAATACTGCAACAGTACTGTTTTTTCTAGTTTCACTGCTTTTGTCCTGAAACAATATTGAAAAAAAAAGATATGTTAATGGGTTTTACTTAATCTGACTATTACTGGCGGATCAATCAGGGATATTCCATTTCTATTTCATAATTTTGAAGCCTTCATAGCCATTATTTAGACTCCGAAACAATTCTCAAAAAATATTCTTCAGTGTTACCGGGGGAAAATGATAAAAGAAGTAGATACGCTCTGTTTTAGAAGTGTGTTCAAAATTATGACTTAACTCACTAAGATTTATTTCACATCTCTTTCGATGTGCTTGAACACGGCCAAAAAAAGTTTACCAAACGTTACAAAATGGCTGCAAATAAATTGTTTTTGTGTATAAGACATAATTTCTGATATTTTTTACACGCGACATCGAAACAGTTCTGCGTGTAAACAAATAGGTGAAGAGGTGAAATAAAAACCGTTAGATATGAAATATATAAATTTTTTGATTGTCGGAAAGTTTTGTCACATATTTTAGTGGTGACAAACAACCCTTATTTGAAAATTGGCTGGGCCGCAGACATATTTCAAAAAAAGTCCAAAAAGTGATGTTTGGATTTTATTGTTTATTGAATAGTGTTTTTTTGGAATTTATTGAGCTAAAAAAAAACTTTCTTTTTCTAAAAGTGCAAATTAACATCATTTTTGACGACAAATTTTTAAATTTTCTCCATCGAGAAAATCGTAGAGCCGCGCGGGTTTACTGTGAAAATGTATAATAAAAAAACAAAGTATTCACTTCTGAACTCAAATACTAACAAATCTGCTCGTATCAGGCGTAATGCGACAACTCGCATTAAAAAACAACTCGCGTTATACTCACCGCCGAAGTCGTCGCGCCAACGTGTTGCGAGCTTGCAAACAGAGGGCAGGATTTTATACAAAATTTAGAGCCGGTTTTGTATAAAGTCACCGGTGACCTTAAACCGAGAACTTGAAGTTTCCAATTACCTTCAAACACTTGTGAGTTGTCGCTTTCTTTAATTTTCGCGAGTTGTCTTTTCTTGAGAGTTGTCGCGATACTGTATCAGGGCGAAGGCCTGAATATGTTGACGGATTAGTAGTTAGTGCATGGAGTAGTTTTTGCTAGAATGGTTAAATTTTCAAACAAAATCGCAAATTTGTTTTGTTATTGAAGTTTTATTTTAAGAATGATTTCTGAGACTGTTTGAATTTCCGCTCACGCGTTAATAGAACTAAACATGCTACGCTACCCAATAATTATTCTAAATTAGCCAAATTGGCAAACTGCAAACCCTCATAACTTTAAGGAAAAAAATCACAGGTGAAAGATTTTGAAAACACTGAATGATATCGGAACCCTTTGTAGATAGCAGACATTCAAGACGACATGGAATTCCTCGAGGAGCAGCTTCGTGAGGAGAGGAGAGAGACTAAGAGGCAGAAGAAGGAGTTGAAGAAGGAGATTGAGGAGACCAAGGAGAGCATAAAGGAGCAGCAGTCTCAGAACGAGAGTGAGAAAGATCAGCTGGACGGGTTCCGGAAGGAGTTGGAGGAGAAGAGAGAGCGACTGCAGATCAAAACAAGGGTAAGTACAGGCGGCAACCAACGCAGATGGCAAACATATCCTGTCGCAAGAAAGGATAAAAATTGAGCTTCAAAAATTATATATTTATACCTTAGACTGAACAGTAAAAACTTAACACGGGCTTTATCAATTAGCAAATGGATCACGAATTTATGGTATATTGATATTGGGGTTCTTGTTATAACGAAGAAAAACACTCAAGGTCAAGATGACAGTTCTTTAAGCCACTTCGTAGAGTGATCGAAACAGGAACATAAGGCTTAAAAACTTTCCTGACTCCTAATTTATACTACGTAGTTTCGGTTTGTTTTCAGAGCACAGGGCTGATAGAGAAGAACTGTGTGCAGCTGAGTGCGAGGGAGGAGGCGCTGGAGAGACAGCTGGAACGGGTGAGGGGGGACAATGAGAAGAAGAGGGAGGAGATATCGGCCACACAGAGAAGAGATTTCGAAAGACAGGCGGAGTACACAGTCCAGAGAGAACAACTGGAACTTCAGCTCAAACAGGTAAGTGGTGGTGATGGTGGTGGTCGTGGATGACATTGGTGGTGTAGTAGGGGGGATGGGTGGGGGTGGTTTATTGTCATTGGAAATTAGAAGTTTTCGTAGGTCACATTTGACTGCAGTGAGTGAAGATTACTCGCAAATAAATTGATCGATTGTTGGAAGATGATCAAATTATAGAAAAAAAATTATATCTAAAGTCTGTTCAGAAAAACGACAAATGATTCGAACAATGGTCATCTTTGCTATTTATATACACAGTTGGTGGCCAATTCTTTCAACCCAGTTGCTTTTGTTACCTTTTCTTATGAAGCATTTCAAAACAAACTATTGTTTGTGTAGATACAAGAAGATTCACAGGGCTCGATCGAGGAGAACGAAAGGCTGAAGAAAGGCAACGCACGACTGCACGCAGGCTAGTATTCAAGACAAAAATGTCCCAAAACTCCAACGGGACAAAAAACGCAGTTTTTTTCTGATTGTTAGAAGGCAGTTTTCAACCGGCCATCATTCGTAAACAGGCAATACTTGCTATCTGTCAACTATTCGTAAGTTTTCTAAACACGACAACTGAAAAACAAATCAATTACAGGGGTTTTAAAACTATACCGACGTTTTTTAGCATGATCGGTGGGTTGATAACACGGTGTATGGGTGCTTTATAATAAGGGTGCTTTATAATTAGGAGCTTTAAGAAAAATCCTTTATCGCTTTTTTCTTCGAAAATTGGAACAAAACCATAGGCATAGCTCAAATAGAAGAAACACTTTTTAGAAACTCTTCTTTGAAACCGTCCTATGAACACTTTGGAAGAAACACTTCCTTTGCAATTCCCTGAAGAAGCCTTCCGATAATTTTGGTTCGCCGCCTTTTCAAAACTAAGATTGCAATCCATTATCGCAAGTGAAATATAAAGTTATGAAAAAGAAAAAATGCACGATTTGATTAACTATTGAGTCGAATGTAATCGATTGCTTTAAATACGATTCAATACTCGAAATCCTCTTTTTGACGTTTATTTGGTACAAATTGTTTAAATAAACCTTTCTTATATATTATACACAGATTTTAATCAAGTTATAATCATATTATTTACATATTATATACTGATTTTCGTGGCCTTCAAATAATTTGATTAAGTTAAAATTAGTATATTATTTAGGTTTTTCAGTTGAATTTTGGCGCTGATGTTTAAACAGATAAAGCACACATGTTCAGTATGTTTCCGAGCTTTATTTAAAAAATTAGTGCAATATTTTGCCTAGAACAATCAACCAAAACAATTTTGAAAGTAAATACCCGGGTTGACCTCCATTGAACAAAAATGCTAATCATACAATTCCATAAAGTAAGTCTATGAAAATACTAGTCATAAAATTTTATACGTTTTGCTAAAATGGTGCGATCGAATTTTCATAAAACTTTGTTCTTGTTTTGGCATAAAAGTCAGTGTATCGTACTAAGTTAAAAAAACTGTTGTCAAAAATTGCTAATCAAATTATTTCCATATATCGAAATTGTATGACTAGCATTTTTCTGACGGAGACAGCAAAAATTGTTCCAAATAATTTTGAAATTGCTCCAATTTTTTTTTCAACCGCAAATTGAATTTTGTACTCCAACAATAAATTTCCAAAAAAAATTTGCATGCAAAATTTATTTTTTGTCTGCATAATGTAGTCCTGGATACACAAAAGTGGGATTTTTTCCGTTTCTCTGGATAACTTTTTTCAAAAACGCTAAAATTTTATTTTTGTATGGCATGTTATGTATGCCTTGTTCAATGCCTGATAATTTCAATTTTTTAAAATAATCATCTTTGAGAATTTTTGCAGAAATTTTAAAGTTTGATGCTTTCAGTATAACATTTGTGTAAGAAAACTCTGAAACCTTTCAGGTCGTTTATGCGAGACTATCAAACCTTTGGTGACTCTAGTGTTGAGTAAACCATGGTTTTGGCACTTGTTTTGGATTATGAACACATTCTAAAAATTTTGAGAAATTAAATTTGAGAAATAAAACAATTTTTTGGTTTATGGAAAATGCTAGTCATACAATTTCCATATATGAAAAAAAAACACTAATCATAGAACTTTCATGCAATTTTCTGTACGTATGGAATCGCATGAAAAGTGTTTGATTAGCATTTTTTCCATATATGAAAGTTGTATGATTAGCATTTTTGTTCAACCCGGGTATCATGTTTCAAATCTGGATGTTTCTTCAACCTTTTTAATGTGTTTCGTACCGGATAAGAAACAGCCTACATCTCAATTTTTTTCATCTCGACACTGCGTGTCTCAATTTGTTCATATATATTCTCGATGCAATTTGTAGCCGTTGCTTATCTTCTACAAAACAAATACAAGAATCAGCCAAATAAAAAATTTTGCAGCAAAAATTTTAATGCTTCAAAAATTGCATATCCATTGCGCTAAAATGTTGAATTTAGGATTTGCATGCTTTAGCCCACTTCAACAAAAAGATAAATTTTATCTGGGGAACGAATTGTAGTAATTTTTGCGAACAAAAATACATAGAAAAATATACAAACAATATCAAAAAGTAACAATGAAGTAAGCATTTGAAGCTGGTTTTCTTTTGCGGGTTTTTGAAAAGTATGTTATCAAGCAAGACATCTTTTTTTTAGATTAAGTAAGTCGTGTTTTATATTACTTAATTGATTTTATACAGATTTCGTACACCTTTATACAAAAAGACTCCTTTTTCAGAAATTGTAACTCATTTTTTAGACAATATAAAGTTTTGTGATTTGTTTACACTTATTTAGTTATTATTAATGTCTATATAATTTTCACTCAATCATGTTTTAAAAATAGAAAACTTTAAAGACAATCGATTATGTTCAGTTATCAATAATCATTACTTGTATAATTGCGTTCTAATTTTTGTCATCGAATGTTACTTATATATTACATTTTTGTTTTCATGAAATTAACATGGTTCAACATGAGATAAAAACAGATGAGCGAGTTATCTCAGTGAGCATGACTGATACCAGTACTACGATTCTTAGCAAGTAAATTGAAACTGAAGTATTACAAAAAATTATATGAAAAACTGATCAAAAGATGTTTTTTGTTAAGTTCAATCAAGTTTTTGTTATCTTTCTCGTTGTTAGCCCATGGAGGGAAATTTTTCAAATATCAGATACCTTTTATAGTATTATCTGGTATTAATTAAGCTATGTTTTTGGGGCATCAAGTTTCTAGGTCAGAAAAACTATTAGAACACCCAACCACCCAGTAAATTTTTGAAGGTAGTTCACAATTCAAAAATATTCAGCAAAAATTAAAAAATTAGGACAGTGAAAAAAACTTTCACATGCCAATTATTTCTTTTTTTTTTCTAAAAGCGATAACAAATTTCGTCAAAAAGCTCCAACCACGTTCAAAAGTAAATTCAAAAAAGTTCGAAAACTTGACAATTATCGGCCGATTTCTATTGACGAGAAAGCGCTAAATGCAGCTTAAAAAACTTTTTCTCCTAAGTTTTTTTTTGGCGTAAACTAAGTTTTTTTTGGCGTAAATAAGCCTTTCTTGGCTTTATCTAACAAATGTTACCTGCTCGTTTTTTGCTCGAAATCTGACAACAGAGCAATAATTTCAAAATAATTTTTCTCAACACTAAGTGAAGTTTTTAAAATTTTTGCTCAAAAAAGGGGTGTAAAATGATATATCATGCGGAGCATTCTAATGATTGTTTGTGGTATTTGATGTTTCGTGGGGAAAAAAATTTAAAAAGTTTAAAAAAATACACATCACGTAGACAAATTTTCTACTAAATTTTAGAGGTCGGAGGAAAAAGCCTTGAAATAGTTTTTGGGAGCCAAAAAAGGCAAGCTGATTGCTGTTTGTGTAGCGCAGAACATTTCGACCAGAATAATCGCTGCAACAAAATCTATTGAAAGAAAAATTTGTCTATGTAAAATTTCAGCAACTTTTGTGTAGCCAACGAGTAATCGAAATCGGATTCGAAATATAGTAAAAATCAAACTTAAGAAGATAAAAATTGATCTCAAAATTAGAAACAAATTAACATAATTTTTTGTTGTATCTTTGGGATCTCAATTATTTTTTCACTGACAATTGTAGCCCTCTATGCTTTTTTTGACTAAACTTTTGTCTAGATTCACTCGTTACGCCACGCACAAAAACGAGACTTTACTTGAAAAGAATTTTATGAGTGTAGCCGGACCATTGTGTGCTATTTGTTTTTTATTCAAATTCATTTAATTTGCATAAATTATCATGTTCTTTTAGAATTGAAGGCGTCGAATGAGGAGAAGAAGGCGGATGCGAATGCGATGCGTAGTCTGCGTGAACAGCTGAGTGAGCAGCAGGCGGAGATGGGGGAGTTGACGGAGGAGACGGGACGACTCACTGCCGAGAACGAGGACATGTCCAGTCACATACAGCAGATACAGGAGACTCACGAGTAAGCATTTGACCTTTCATGCACACTTTTCGGACTCTTGTTCATTGTCGGCTGCACTTGCAAATCTTTGGCTGATATTTTTTTAAAGCAATTTTGTAAACGTTTTCAGTGTCGAACTTGACTATTTTTGGATGAGGTTTTTTGCGGCTGGTTAATGTCCAAAGTTTCGTGCCCAATTTTGGACGATTTTGAAGAGGCGTTTAATGAGACACACTGTCAAACACATACTAGACATTAATGATATGTTATTACTCTAATTCAATCCATTTTTCAATTTTCAATTCTTATGCGCTATGAAGAGCTTAATAATGTTTTTATTAAAAAAGAGCTTCATTCATGATCGAATCAATTGAGTAATTCGCCGAATATTCATTTTTAGATAATTCAGTCACAATTGACCTTTTTCAGCCCAATTACTAACATGACAATCCTCATACTACCCGATCCATTCAGGTATAGGCCTTGTCTAATGGGATTACATTCATTATGGCGTCTGCACGAGTTGAGATGAACACTTCATGTTTTTTAAACTGTTCAATGTTTGCTGTGATGTTTTCATTCAGCTTGATTTTTTCAGTGAGCTGTTCAAAAATAGAACTCAATGAAAATGAATGATGAGTGTTCTTTGCCGAATTTTCTTCACAGTTTTTTCATTTAAAAGATTCTCATTGATGTCTCGTTTATTCTCTAGTGCCTCGGGATGCTGTTTGGGAATGGTTGTAAGTTTTTTGCTAGCTTTTTCTCTTGCTTGAAGTTTATTCTGTTTAGTTCTGCAATGAAGGTGAAGAATGCGGAAGCGGACACTCTGAAAGATAAACTGCTGGACGTCCAGAACCTCAGGTGAGTTCAGTCGCCGCATGATGCAACCAAAATGTCGGTATGCCAACAAGCCGAAGGGCAACAGGAAAAAAATAAAACCAGTCCAATAAGCCTAAGTCTAATATTGTTGGGCAACAAAAAAATAGATTGTCTCTGTTGCTAGTCAATCGTGTTAGGTAATCTTGATGTAATTTTGGCTCCAAAATAACAAATGTTTGATGTTTTCAATTTTCCTCTGAACGCAAATTATTATTAACCTTTCATCTCTCTATACCATGCAGCCCTGAATGTCTTTTGGGGTCAATTGCCGACCATAAGGGATCCCAATCTCTGAGGTCCTCCTTAGACTCTCTTGAACCCGATCCTTCTGCTCCATTTAACCCAAATAGAAACGGAAAAACAAGCTCTGCGCCAGCTTGTATGGAAAATGTTGCGAGGTCGCTTGAAATTGAGAAATATACTGAAAAAAGCGATGAAATTAAAATTGATCAAAAAAGAAGAAATACTATAAATGGTATCGAGTTCAAAGCCAGTACTGAATCGGATCATAGTTACAGTAGCTGTAACAGTGATCCAAATGCCAAAAAGGTAAATGAACAGGTCGCAGAGGGTCAAACACTTTTGGATGGCAACTCGGGGTCGGGTGAGGGGTTTCACGAAGAGACAGGAGATGATTTGTTCGACAAGATACTTTGGAAACTCAGTACAGACTCAGAGGAGCTGACATCATTCTGTTCGGAGCTGGAGTGAGAAAAATGAAGATATTTAGTCTATAGACTAGTCTTAGAAAAACTGATTGCTCTGCAAGCTGTTGCGTATCTATGTCTCTTATTAACAAGTATTTAATTCCAAAATTGTTAAAAGTTTTGACTCTTTCAAATTATACTCTCCATTGAAAAGCAGTGGCGAGCGTAGAAACTTTTTCAAGGCGAGGGGGGTTTTTCGGCACTTTTTTGAAAATTTGACTGAAAAAATTGCGTTTTTTCGGCGCGCGCTCCACCATCAAAATTAGTTATATTGGCGCCAAAGGAGCCTTTAGAAACGTTTTTGAGGTTGATCAGCCAAAAATGGATATCGTAAAGTTATACTAAAGGGTGAAATTGGAAAAATTTGGCAGCCAGAATTGAGTGGGAGGGGCAGTTGCCCCCTCTCGGCACGCTACTGTTGAAAAGTATCATAGGGAAATAAACATTTGAAACACGTTGAACTAAGTTTTTCAGATTGAAAACGTCGTTGAACTAATTCCTTCTGTTTAAAACATGAATCCAAGGGCCTAATCTAGGTTTTTCTCACGACTGCGAGCTGGAAAATTGTATTCAGCTTTTTAGGTTGATTTTCTGAGCATAGGTTGATTTTCTGGCGGACACGTTGATTTTCTGAGCATGTTTTTTTTCTGGCAAAATAAAAATTTATGAAAAATTGGTTTTCGAGTTTTTTTGGAAGATGCTGGCCCAAAAGTGGTACATATTGTTTAATAAGAATCATAGGAAGCCTTAAGAAAAATTGTTCGATCAAAATTGAATGCCCTGAAACTTAACCAAAGGGGTGGTCAGGGGCGAAAAACCTAAAAGATCAAAGTTCGGCATGCTAGTCTTCTACGAATGATCGTAAAATAAAATCGGCCGATCCAATTTCTACAGTTCGCTTAAAAGATACTGTCATAGGCCAAATAATTATACTCACCGCTGCAGTCGCGCCGAAAATGGGCTAAATGAACAACGTCTTGTTTTTGAAATTATTGTGTCATCATTATCAATATAAATTCAAATGTTTGCCTTAGACGCACTTGCAGATCCTTGATTTTCAGAATGGAATTTTAGTTCTCAGTTACAAAATCTTTCTTTCTTCTAATAGATCCTCTGCAAAAAAATGAAAAAACAAAGGTTAATTTTCATTAAGGATGACAACATTACAGGAAGCAGCTGCAAAGTGAACTAGACGACATCCTTCGCCAGACGGACCGGCTCAAAGCGGAGAATGCGAGGAACCTTAGTCTGCTGAATAAAAAGATCGCTGAAGGTAGATAAAGCAATTCCCGTTTTATTACAGACTCTTTCAGATAGGACAATGATAGCGCGTTAGGACGAGCTCTCAATTGACTTCTAGCTTCAGGTCGACCACACGACCTGAGCGGTTTTGGCTTCAATAATGCTACCACACATGAAAACTCGGCCTTCAGTCGTGAAAAACGGCCTTGAGACGTGAAAAGAACGCCTTGAGTCGAAAAAAATTTCGCACCGTCTGAAATGAGGGGAAATAATACAGCAACGGACTATCCTTAAACAAGCGGCTTCACAGTTATTAATATTTCTATCGCGATTCGCAGAAACAATTTTTTCGACTTGAGAGCACAAGTGAATGCGTAAAAGAAGATTGTTTTAAATTCTTTAAATGGTAAACCTGGTCGAAGGCTGGGCGATTAATTGCAATTAAAAAGTAACGCTGTTTTGACACAATTTATGTCACGTTAAATATTTGAGCTAAGATCTGCTTATGATAAATGTGCGCAGTTGCTGCCATGAAGCCTCCTAACAGTTTGCTGATTCTCGGTATGTTGAGTATCTCTTTTGCATTATTGTCAATATTATTGTGAAGTGAGTATTTGCATTATTGTCAATAGGTGAAAAGTTTGTTAAATTTGCTTTACAATGCTGGGGTACTGTGATGTCTATGACTTCTCAGGCAAGAGACAGCACGCCACTTTGACGCAAGAGGGACAGCAATTGCAGAGTGCCATCAGATCCAAGGAGGGGGAGATCAAGTCCAGCCAGGAGACACTCAGGGGAGACAAGGAGAAGTACCAGAAATTGAGGGAGAAACTGGAGAAAGACATCCACTTGTATGAGGTATGACTGAACAAACAGGCGCATGTATTCCCTCATCCACTTCGTTTGTTTCTGGAGTTGTACGCACCGCACCCACTATGATATTTGAGAGCGCATTTCACAGCTATAAGAAAACCAGAGTTCTTATTTGGTTGACCGAAGCCTTCAAAATTTCTCAATGCCGCTTTTGTCCCATCAAGGCGGCGGAGCGCCTCATAAAAAAAGGTAGCTTTCAATCAAAGGATACGTGAAAATAGTCTCAAGATATTTAAGATCTCCGATTTTCTTTATGAGAATTATGTATCAGAATCCTGTAGTCAATATTTTATAAGTTTTATAAGATTCGACTCGTTCGTCTACACATGGTATTGAGTATCTGTCCAAAAAGGTATAATTTAAAATGTATATAATTTTTTATTCATTATAAATAGCATGCTCGTATGTATCGTCGGTATTTCTTAGTCTACTGCTAATCTCCTAAGAATCCGAATAACAATCGCAGTTCCTATCATTGTAGCTCCGAAGGCATATATCGTGACTTGTTGTCATACTAGACGTGCGCTCGGTTCTGAATTCAATCATATAAAGCAAAATACCACAGCAAGTACTCTTGTATGCCATTCTCTCGTCCATTTTGGTTGTTCACGGTGGCCTGATTCGAATTGGCTTTTACAAGCTGCATTAAACAAGTAAAATTTCTTAGTTTATATTCTAGTATTGTTAACCAAAACTCTATAATTTATTCTCAACCTGAGGAAAAATTGGAAATATGTAAACGACCTTCAGTGGTAGAAAACGATGTTTGGACCAAGAAGGGGTCATAGAAAATAGGACAGTAGTCCTTAAAAGTTTTGAACAGTAAACTCGTTAGACCTCAAATCTTTAGATATCATAACCTAAAGAATCCCCTTTGTTGGAATACATTCACTTTTTAGAAAGGATCCCTCGAACAAACACTTAAGCGTATCGCTTCTCGGCCTTTTGGCTAAGATCATGTGTAGTATCTGTTCTTGTCAGCTTAATATCTGGCATGCTGGGCATTGCCTGGCACCAATATTAAACTGATTTTTGAATCACGGATTCGGCAAGGAAGCTTGCTTCAGCCGATCCACGGATTGTCCCGGTCTTACACTACCGCCGGGTACGGTCCATCCCAATATACGAACCGTCTTATCTCTAGTCCCAATCGTGGTAACCGATAGCCGTGTAATTTTTAAGCGTCAGAACCTGACTTCATGAATTTTTTCAAGCGGATACAAAAACTCCAATATTGCCAGATACAATTACCTATAACTCGTTGGAATTTTTAAAACTCTAATCTAGATTTTCTTCTATCTGTATCTATGTCGTCCCTTATACAAAAATGTGCGGGAGATTTGTTAGTAGAAATAAAATTCTCACATGTCTAAGCATTAAATCTATGCCTAACCGTAGGCTGACTATGGCAATTCGTTACAAGAAACAGTTTAAAAATTGGGCAAAAATGCCAAAGTCTCCAAATTTAACTGCTCTAGTTTGGTTAGGTGAATTTTGTCGTAAAATTGCATGTTTCGGATTCCTTGACAGTAGCAAACAACACGACGCCGCCATTCTACGTATATGTTCGCGGGTTCTGCTCCATATTTAACGCTTTAAGGTACCCGGGTTGACGTCCATACAAGAAAAAAGCCTATCATATACTTTCATATATGGAAATCAATTTAAGATAATTTTCAAAAAAAAAAAAATGATTGAAAAAATGCTTGCCATACAAATTTCTTCTTTGAAAAATTTATAGTGAGCCTTTTTCAATTGTTTTTTTTTTCAAAAAAGTGTCTTGAATTGGTTTAAAGCTCAACGATCTGTCAGGCGAAGCACTCTCAAGCCCAGTGAACGTAAAAGCGTTCTGAAACTCATTGAACTAACAAAATTCTTCCCGAAAAGTGTTCAAAATTATTTTTAACTGTTGCGGTGGTACAGTCATGGGACACAGAAGTTGTAAGTTTTTTTATTTCAACGATAAGCTGAACGAACTTTTTTTCACGTTTTTGTCATTTTCTCTGCAACTATTTAAGATATATGGTTAATAATTTGCCAAATTTTAGATAAAATAATTTGAAAGGACTTAACTGGGCCAAAATTTGAGAAATCTGGTTTCAAAGCCGTAAATAAGCCAGAATTTTATACCTAGTTTTATAGGTATCCTTACCGAGGGAACATCCTTGCAAACAATGTAAGGAATTTGAATTTGTAGTCTCAAACTAATTCTTTGGTAAGCTAATGACCTTGATTCATTCTATTTTTTGCCAAGAAACGACAGATAACAGAATTGAAAAGTTACTAGGTTCGGCGTACAAAAACGGTCATAACTGTTTTGATGACTTAAACAGTAAGATTCCTTGGGAGCTTTTACCAGAAGGTTGAACAAAAAATACGGACAAATTAACTGCTAATGAGGGTTGACGTCCATACAAGAAAAAAGCCTATCATATACTTTCATATATGGAAATCAATTTAAGATAATTTTCAAAAAAAAAATTGAATGAAAAAATGCTTGCCATACAAATTTCTTCTTTGAAAAGTTTATAGTAAGCCTTTTTCAATTGTTTTTTTTTTCAAAAAAATGTCTTGAATTGGTTTAAAGCTCAACGATCTGTCAGGCGAAGCACTCTCAAGCCCAGTGAACGTAAAAGCGTTCTGAAACTCATTGAACTAACAAAATTCTTCCCGAAAAGTGTTCAAAATTATTTTTAACTGTTGCGGTGGTACAGTCATGGGACATAGAAGTTGTAAGTTTTTTTATTTCAACGATAAGCTGAACGAACTTTTTTTCACGTTTTTGTCATTTTCTCTGCAACTATTTAAGATATATGGTTAATAATTTGCCAAATTTTAGATAAAATAATTTGAAAGGACTTAACTGGGCCAAAATTTGAGAAATCTGGTTTCAAAGCCGTAAATAAGCCAGAATTTTATACCTAGTTTTATAGGTATCCTTACCGAGGGAACATCCTTGCAAACAATGTAAGGAATTTGAATTTGTAGTCTCAAACTAATTCTTTGGTAAGCTAATGACCTTGATTCATTCTATTTTTTGCCAAGAAACGACAGATAACAGAATTGAAAAGTTACTAGGTTCGGCGTACAAAAACGGTCATAACTGTTTTGATGACTTAAACAGTAAGATTCCTTGGGAGCTTTTACCAGAAGGTTGAACAAAAAATACGGACAAATTAACTGCTAATGAGGGTTGACGTCCATACAAGAAAAAAGCCTATCATATACTTTCATATATGGAAATCAATTTAAGATAATTTTCAAAAAAAAAATTGATTGAAAAAATGCTTGCCATACAAATTTCTTCTTTGAAAAGTTTATAGTAAGCCTTTTTCAATTGTTTTTTTTCTTCAAAAAAGTGTCTTGAATTGGTTTAAAGCTCAACGATCTGTCAGGCGAAGCACTCTCAAGCCCAGTGAACGTAAAAGCGTTCTGAAACTCATTGAACTAACAAAATTCTTCCCGAAAAGTGTTCAAAATTATTTTTAACTGTTGCGGTGGTACAGTCATGGGACATAGAAGTTGTAAGTTTTTTTATTTCAACGATAAGCTGAACGAACTTTTTTTCACGTTTTTGTCATTTTCTCTGCAACTATTTAAGATATATGGTTAATAATTTGCCAAATTTTAGATAAAATAATTTGAAAGGACTTAACTGGGCCAAAATTTGAGAAATCTGGTTTCAAAGCCGTAAATAAGCCAGAATTTTATACCTAGTTTTATAGGTATCCTTACCGAGGGAACATCCTTGCAAACAATGTAAGGAATTTGAATTTGTAGTCTCAAACTAATTCTTTGGTAAGCTAATGACCTTGATTCATTCTATTTTTTGCCAAGAAACGACAGATAACAGAATTGAAAAGTTACTAGGTTCGGCGTACAAAAACGGTCATAACTGTTTTGATGACTTAAACAGTAAGATTCCTTGGGAGCTTTTACCAGAAGGTTGAACAAAAAATACGGACAAATTAACTGCTAATGAGGGTTGACGTCCATACAAGAAAAAAGCCTATCATATACTTTCATATATGGAAATCAATTTAAGATAATTTTCAAAAAAAAAATTGAATGAAAAAATGCTTGCCATACAAATTTCTTCTTTGAAAAGTTTATAGTAAGCCTTTTTCAATTATTTTTTTTTTCAAAAAAATGTCTTGAATTGGTTTAAAGCTCAACGATCTGTCAGGCGAAGCACTCTCAAGCCCAGTGAACGTAAAAGCGTTCTGAAACTCATTGAACTAACAAAATTCTTCCCGAAAAGTGTTCAAAATTATTTTTAACTGTTGCGGTGGTACAGTCATGGGACATAGAAGTTGTAAGTTTTTTTATTTCAACGATAAGCTGAACGAACTTTTTTTCACGTTTTTGTCATTTTCTCTGCAACTATTTAAGATATATGGTTAATAATTTGCCAAATTTTAGATAAAATAATTTGAAAGGACTTAACTGGGCCAAAATTTGAGAAATCTGGTTTCAAAGCCGTAAATAAGCCAGAATTTTATACCTAGTTTTATAGGTATCCTTACCGAGGGAACATCCTTGCAAACAATGTAAGGAATTTGAATTTGTAGTCTCAAACTAATTCTTTGGTAAGCTAATGACCTTGATTCATTCTATTTTTTGCCAAGAAACGACAGATAACAGAATTGAAAAGTTACTAGGTTCGGCGTACAAAAACGGTCATAACTGTTTTGATGACTTAAACAGTAAGATTCCTTGGGAGCTTTTACCAGAAGGTTGAACAAAAAATACGGACAAATTAACTGCTAATGAGGGTTGACGTCCATACAAGAAAAAAGCCTATCATATACTTTCATATATGGAAATCAATTTAAGATAATTTTCAAAAAAAAAATTGATTGAAAAAATGCTTGCCATACAAATTTCTTCTTTGAAAAGTTTATAGTAAGCCTTTTTCAATTGTTTTTTTTCTTCAAAAAAGTGTCTTGAATTGGTTTAAAGCTCAACGATCTGTCAGGCGAAGC